GGGACCGAGCAACGGGAGCTCACCCCATAATGAGGATTTGAACCGCCGACCTTCTGATCGGCAAGTCCTAGGCTCTGTGGTTTAACCCACAGCGCCACCCGCGTCCCTCCGGAGACCTGTTGTCTTGGGCTAAAAAAACATTGGTTCCAGTCTTGCCCTCCAAAACAGGAGAGAACAAGTTTGTTCCATCTTTCACATGACCACTATGGGCAGCTTACAGAATAACTAAAAATATAATAAAAACAAAACCAAAACAAACATCAAGCTTTAAAAACCTCCCTACACAGGCCTGCCTTCAGGTGTCTTCTAAAAGTTGTGTAATTCTTTTATCTCCTTGACAGCTGAAGGAAGGCCATTCCACAGGGAGGGCGCCACTACCGAGAAGGCCCTCTGCTTGGTTTTTGAAATTTATTTTTCAAAATTTGAAATTGGCTACCTTGCCTCTTCTTGGCCTCCTCTTTTCAAGGTTAAACCTAGCCAGCTCCTTCAACCGTTCCTCATAAGGTTTAGACCTTTGATCATGTTGGTTGTCATCCCTCGGGGGTGAAGATAAAATTAGGATAGAGGATCTTGTGGATTTCCACACACACACACTTCTTTTTCATCTTCTCTTCTTTTTCTACTTCTTTATTTCCTTCTTTTCCTTATTCTTGCTTCTTCCCTAGGTCTTTGGATTAGTTTGGCTTTCATTGAGTTTTATGCTGAAAACCCTTAATAGAAACCGATATGAAAAAATGAAGACACAAAAAATATATATTTACAAATAAAGCTGTATTCAATGTATGAAAGGATATATGATTTTTGACATGACTGAGAATCGCATAGCCAGGGACGGAGAACTTTAAAGCGTTAAGATCAGAAGGAGGAAAATATGAAAGCAACGAGAAGAGGCAGGAAGAAAATTTGGAGATATGCTTCAGAGGTCCAGACTATAGGGAGCCTGTAAAAATTAATAACTACAATTTGGTTGTTTTGTTTTTAGTTTATTATTTTTAATTGGATTATGATTCGGGTATCTTGATTGGCTATTTTTATTGGAAAATCAATAACAATGATTAAAAAGAAAAGAAAAAATGAAGACACAATTTCATACCGGCGGTGGCTAGACAGGGGAGGAAGGCTAATTGTGTTGGATCTGGAATTATCATATTTATTTATTCTTTTGTTCCCCGCCCATCTGGCTGACCACTTCTCGGTCCCTGCTCCTGCCAACCTAGTAGTTCAAAAGCACATCAAAGTGCAAGTAGATAAAGAGGTACTGCTCCGGCAGGAAGGTAAACGGCGTTTCTGTGCGCTGCTCTGGTTAGCCAGAAGCAGCTTAGTCCTGCTGGCCACATGACCCGGAAGCTGTACGCCGGCTCCCTTGGCCAATAAAGCGAGATGAGTGCCACAACCCCAGAGTCGGTCACGACTGGACCTAATGGTCAGGGGTCCCTTTACCTTTAAGGCAGCTTCCAACAAAGAGAGAAATTGTAAAAGGACTAAGTGTGGGGTGATTCATATTTCTGCTAACAACACTGCTCTCCCCATGCGGTCCCCACCCTCCCAAAAGGGTATCGTGGAGTTGGGAAGAGTTTCAGGAAACACCAGCCAAAGTCGGAACGTCTCCCACATGCGGAGAGGTTTCAACATTTGGGGATTTTTTTGGTTTAGAGGGAAATGTGAGAAAGAGGCAACGAGGCAGAACTTTATAAAATTATGCGCGGTCCATCTTATGGGCTGCTTGTCACATTTATTTTATTTTTAGGAGGGAAAACTAATGCGTGGCACAGAAAAGGAAACGCAAGCCGTGTGGGAACACTGATAACGTGCTTCTCGCGCTCCCATAATGCCAGACATCCAATGAAGCCGAACGTTGGACCAAAGAAAAGTATTTCACAGTTAAACTGTGGAACTCACTGCCACAAGAAGCACCAACAGCCACTGATTTTAAAAAAGACAAATTCATGGAGGAGAGGGTTATCGAGTGATGATCAGGATGATAATTTTTTTTATTTGTACCCCACCCATCTGTCTGAAGGCAGTATTTACCGTATTTTCGCTCCATAAGACGCACCTAGTTTTTAGAGGAGGAAAACCGGGGGGGGGGGGGAATTCTGAACGAAACAGTGGATGTATGATTTTGGTGGTTCATGCTGTGGTCACAGACATGTGATTTGACAGTGAGTTTGGAGTAAAGGTAAAGGTAAAGGTACCCCTGCCCGTATGGGCCAGTCTTGCCAGACTCTAGGGTTGTGCGCCCATCTCACTCAGGAGGCCGGGGGCCAGCGCTGTCCGCAGACACTTCCGGGTCACTTGGCCAGCGTGACAAAGCTGCTCTGGCGAGCCAGAACCGCACACGGAAACGCCGTTTACCTTCCCGCTAGTAAGCGGTCCCTATTTATCTACTTGCACCCGAGGGTGCTTTCGAACTGCTAGGTTGGCAGGCGCTGGGACCGAGCAACGGGAGCGCACCCCGCCGCGGGGATTCGAACCGCCGACCTTTCGATCGGCAAGTCCTAGGCGCTGAGGCTTTAACCCACAGCGCCACCCGCGTCCCATAAGTTTGGAGTAGCCCAATGCAAAAATCCTGATGGTCACTGGATCCTTGAAGTAATCCTGGCAGATGGGGCAAGTGGCTTCATCACGGAGACGCTGGATGTGACCCCCTGCAGCAGCCATGGCTCCCTCGTGCTGAAGAGTCTGTTAAGTTTCGCTTTTTCAGTTTTCAGCCACTGGGAGTTTCCCTTCCTGGAGCTGCATGCTCCCCCATTGCTCTACCTGGACACTTAGGTCCTTTTGGTGGTTACCTCACTGCGAGGGATGTAACGGGCGCCACGTTTGCAATATGCAACTGGGAGAAAGCACCTTTGCGTGCCCGCATTGCAGTTTGCTCTGTGCGTTGCAGAGCACGGCGCTGCATGGGCTGCAATTGCATTGCATTGCGTGAGAGATTTGCAGTTGCATTGCACGAAGGGTGTGTGCATTGCATGGAGGGTGTGTGTGCATTGCATGGAGTGTGTAGTTGCACTGCACAAAGTGTGTTGTTGTATTGCACAAAGTGTGTTGTTGTATTGCACAAAGTGTGTTGTTGTATTGCACAAAGTGTGTTGTTGTATTGCACAAAGTGTGTTGTTGCATTGTACGAAGTGGGTTGCTGCATTGCACGAAGTGGGTTGTTGCATTGTACGGAAGGTGTGGTTGCATTGCACGGAGTGTGTAGTTGCATTGCACGGAGGGTGTGTGCATTGCACGGAGGGTGAGGGCATTGCATGGAGGGTGTAGTTGCATTGCACAGAGTGTGTTTTTTGCATTGCACAGAGTGTGTGTGCATTGCACGGAGTATGTAGTTGCATTGAACGGAGGGTGTGTGCAGTGCACGGAGTGTGTAGTTGCATTGCATGGAATGTAGTTGAATTGCATGGAGTGTGTTTTGCTTTGCAGGGAGTGTGTAGTTGCATTGAACGGAGTGTGTAGTTGCATTGAACGGAGTGTGTAGTTGCATTGCACGGAGGGTTTGTGCGTGCATTGCATGGAGTGTGTAGTTGCATTGCACAGAGTGTGTTTTTTTGCATTGCACGGAGTGTGTAGTTGCATTGCATGGAGAGTGTGTGCACTGCACGGAGTGTGTTTTTTGCATTGCAGAGTGTGTGTCTGAAAAGGAAGCTGGCTCGGCGGCAGCTTTGTCGGGACTTCTTTAGGGGTTCTGGCCAGCGTCGGCCCTGTAAATTTACATATCATGATGGCAGCACAAGATGCCCCCTGCCCAAGCGGGGGCTGGAAGCTGGCAAGCAATAGCTCAATACCTTTTGCCCATATTCCCATTTTATTTAGGGATCCAGTTGGATATCGTTGCTAAAACATACCACCTGCCTATGGAGAAGCTGTCTGCCTTGAAGGAAGTTATTTTGTAATACTTCCTCTGTAGCAAGTGATGCTTCATCAGATCCGATCTTGCTGGGTCACTTAATTAATCTTCCCACTAGGCCAGGCTGCCTGCGGCCTGAGGTCCCCTTACCTTTGTGTACGCCTACCAAGTATGGAGAATTGCTTGGGCCAAGTTACAGCTACAGATCAACTTTTCAAGCTAAAGGACGAGGGGACGAGCCACAGCCCAGTGGCAGAACACCTGCCTGGCATGCAGAAGGCCTCGGGGACCAGGTTGAACCCTCCGCATTTCCAGGTCTGCCTGGGAGAGAGTCTGGTCTGAAACGTCAGAGAGCTGCTACCAGTCCGTATGGATGAGACCGAGCTGGACAGAGCAATGGCTTGACTAAGCAGAACACAGTTTCCTATGTTCCTGTGTCTAAAGAGAAGGGTTGAAAGGACCTGTTGATGGCATTTTACCATTGCACTGTGGAGAGTGTATTATGGTCTGTGTGTGTGGTTTGGGAGCTGCACGGTCAGGCGAAAAACAATGTTGTCCAGGGTTGTAAAGACTGCGGAGAGAATAATTGGGTGCACTCTTCCCACCTTGGATCAATTCTATTCTTCCAGGTGCCATAAGAAAGCGGCAGAGATAGCGCAGGATAGTGTGCTACCCGGAAATGATCTCTTTCAGCTTCTGCCTTCTGGAAGAAGGTACAGGGTTATAAAGACTAGGACTAGCTGCCTGAACACTTCCAAGTTTTCAGCGTTTGAGAACCAAGGTGTTTGAGAACCAAGGTACCACTGTATATGACTTCATGTTAAAAGACAACTAACTTCCTGTGTTCCTATCCCTACTGAGCGATGTATACCATTTCCTGAAACCGGACCCTGAACAGCAGCCTATAAACATGTCAAACAAATCTACCTTCCTAATTTGCCATAGCACACGACTTGGAATCGCAGAACTGTGGAGTGGAAGGGACCCCAGAGGTCATCCAGCCTGACCCCTGGAAGTGCCTAAAGCTTTGCCACGAAAGGCAGTGTGGTTCTTCCTTTCACACAAAAATTGATCTTATGCAAGAGGACAGAACTGCTTGGACTGAGAGATGGAAGGGAAGGAGAGAAGAGCATAATGTCCCCAGCCATGTTACCTTTTGGAAGACGTAGCCTCCGTCGGGACCCCAGCCCACAATCGGGTCGGTGGAGGGCTTGCCGTTGATGTTCGGCTGGGAATTGATGGTCAGGATCCCTCTCCTGTTCACCTTGGCCAGCTCTTCTTTCATAAGGTTGGTCTCGGGCGCCAGAGGTTCATCGTTCCAAGGCAGGCAGGTCACCTATGGGGGGGGGGAGAGAGAAAAAACTATCAATATTTTGGAAAGGGGAGAGGGCAGGTTGGGTGTGCAGACAAATGCACAGCTTTCTCCCATGTTTCCAAATCCCCTTAAATTTTAAAATTCCTTCCCCCTGTTATACCTCAAGCAGACACACACATGTGTTAACCACAACAATAATTTATTTGTACAGTGATACCTCAGGTTAAGTACTTAATTCGTTCCAGAGGTCCGTTCTTAACCTGATACTGTTCTTAACCTGAGGTACCACTTTAGCTAATGGGGACTCCCGCTGCCTCCGTGCGAGTTCTGTTCTCATCCTGAAGCAAAGTTCTTAACCTGAGGTACTATTTCTGGGTTAGCGGAGTCTGTAACCTGAAGCGTCCGTAACCTGAAGCGTCTGTAACCCGAGGTACCACTGTACTCTGCCCATCTGACTGTGTTGCCCCAGCCACTCTGAGCAGCTTCCAACATATATTAAAAGCATTATTATTATTTATTGAATTTATATACCGCCCTATACCCAGGGGTCTCAGGGCGATTCACAGAAAAAAATCAAGATATAAAACCACAAAATTAAAAATAAAAACAACCACCCAATAGTCCTCCCCTCCAAAAAACAAAACCCCCACACCTTTTAAAAGGGCCTAGGATGTAAATCAAATCAACCAAAGGCTTAGTTTAAAAGGAACTTTTTTGCCTGGCACCTAAAGGTGTGTAATGAAGGCGCCAGGCAAACTTCCCTGGGGAGAGCATTCCATAGACGGGGAGCCACTGCAGAGAAGGCCCTGTTCTCGTGTTGCCACCCTCTGGACCTCTCGAGGAGGAGGCACACAAAAGAGGACAAAATAAAACATTAAAAAGCTTCTCCATACGGGGCTGCCTTCAGGTGTCTAGTTACTCATCTCCTTGACATTTTCAAAGTTCCTTCAAGCACCTTTTACTGTGGGGCTGCAGTTCAGCAGTAGAGAAGGGCCTGCTCAGCATCCATAAGGGCCCTGGGTTCAATTCCTGGCATCTCCAGGTAGGGCTGGGACTAGGAGAGCCATTGCTGCCAGTCAGTGTAGGCAATACTGAGCTAGATGGGACCAAAGTTCAGACTTGGTATAAAGCAGTTGGTTCCTACAAATCACAGCCGAGGAGCAGAAAGCAATGCCTGAAACAAGACCATCCAAGTGTCCCTATTTTCCAGGGGCATTTATGGATCTACAGAAGCCGCCCTGGTTTCTGATTTGATTCCAGAATGTCCCCCTTTTAGAGAGTCCCTATTTTCATCAGAAGAAGGCTGATTACTGAAGAACTGATGCTTTTGAATTATGGTGCTGGAGGAGACTCTTGAGAGTCCCATGGACTGCAAGAAGCTCAAACGCATCCATTCTGAAGGAAATCAGCCCTGAGTACTCACTGGAAGGACAGATCGTGAAGCTGAGACTCCAAGACTTTGGCCACCTCATGAGAAGAGAAGACTTCCTGGAAAAGACCCTGATGTTGGGAAAGATGGAGGGCACAAGGAGAAGGGGATGACAGAGGACGAGATGGTTGGACAGTGTTCTCAAAGCTACCAGCATGAGTTTGACCAAACTGCAGGAGGCAGTGGAGGACAGGAGTGCCTGGCGTGCTCTGGTCCATGGGGTCACGAAGAGTCAGACACGACTAAACAACAAAATTTTCATCAGAGAAATGTTGGAGGGTATGGAGTTATGCGACCCTCTCCCCCAAGCCAAGGAGATAAGTAACTACGCGACCTTTGGAAGACATCCGAAGGCAGCCCTGTAGAGGGAAGTTTTTAAAATATTTTATCAGTTCAAGTTTAAAACTGATGGAATATGCGCAGCTTGCGGACCTAACGTATAGAATAAGAGAACACGAAAAACACACATTTAAAGAAGATTGGAAAATGTTTATTGAATATATGGGGGCGGTGGTATTGTGTACACTTGAAAACGTTGACAGCATTAAAATAAATTCAACAGTGTAAATAAGTTTTGAGGGATGTAATACAGTGGTACCTCAGGTTACAGACGCTTCAGGTTACATACACTTCAGGTTACAGACTCCGCTAACCCAGAAATAGTACCTCGGGTTAAGAACTTTGCTTCAGGATGAGAACAGAAATTGTGCAGCAGTGGCGCGGCAGCAGCAGGAGGCCCCATTAGCTAAATTGGTGCTTCAGGTTGAGAACAGTTTCAGGTTAAGAACGGACCTCCAGAACAAATTAAGTACTTAACCCGAGGTACCACTGTTAAAGCCATGGTTTTCCCAGTAGTGATGTATGGAAGTGAGAGCTGGACCATAAAGAAGGCTGATCGCCGAAGAATTGATGCTTTTGAATTATGGTGCTGGAGGAGACTCTTGAGAGTCCCATGGACTGCAAGAAGATCAAACGCATCCATTCTTAAGGAAATCAGCCCTGAGTGCACACTGGAAGGACAGATCCTGAAGCTGAGGCTCCAATACTTTGGCCACCTCATGAGAAGAGAAGACTCCCTGGAGAAGACCAATGCTGGGAAAGATGGAGGGCACAAGGAGAAGGGGCGACAGAGGATGGTTGGATAGTGTTTTTGAGGTTACCAGCATGAGTTTGACCAAACTGCGGGAGGTAGTGGAGGACGGAGGTGCCTGGCGTGCTCTGGTCCATGGGGTCACGAAGAGTCGGACACGACTAAACGACTAAACAGCAACAAACCACTGTAATGGAATACTGAATGGTATAGTTTATGTAAAATATGTAGGGATTTATGTTGTGCAAAATGAACCATGGAAAGGGAAGAAGGAAAGCCATTGATATTTTAAGGTTGTTTGAATGAATATTCTAAATTGTAAAGCGGAAAATTTAATAAAATTTACGTGTGTGTGTGTGTGTGTTATTATGTTTTTATTGATGTTGAAAGACACCCAGAATGGCTGAGGCAATCCAGTTAGATGGGTCTGGTATAACAACAACAAGAACGGAATAGGACGCCCCCATTTTCACTGGAGAAATATTGGAGGGTATGTGAGACTTGTGTCAGGACTCCAGAGACCGGACGCCCACACTTGTTCACCCCCTATGTGGAGGTTCGTGGGCCAGGGCCCTCCCTGGATCTCTCACCTTGTGCCCCTCCTTGTTGGGCTCTCCGGCGATGTAACACCTGAACACCTCGAAGACGCTTTCCTCGCTGGTCAGCTCCTCGCCCCACATCTTCAGCAGCTCGTCCCTGGGAGATTTGCTCTTCAGGTAGAAGAGGTAATAATCCTTTAGCTCCCCAAAGGCTGGGGAGGATGAGTTACCCCTGAGGGTTGCGGGAGAGAAGGCATGTTAGGGCAGGGCAGGAACAAGCCCCCTTACAGGCAAGATGGCCTCCCCCACATTCACCCACTTGACTGCTCCCATCAGCAGAACTGTTGCAGGGACCACAGAATCCCTGTTCTAAATTTATAAGAAGTCCATCTTTTCGTGTGGCAATACCCAAACTCTGGAACTTCCTGCCTATGGACATCAGGCAGCTGCCTTCACTGTACTCTGTGCTAGAAACATTCGTGAAGCCCACCCAGAGGTTTAGAAAACTGATGCATATTTCCATCTGTTTTTAGCTAGTTGTGAACTTGAGCTCTTGAAAGTATTACATTATCGCTGTTCTTACCAATAAATTTTATCGTTTTGTCTTTTTCGCAAACCGCTTCGAGGCTCATTTGATTTTTTGATTTTATACAGTCAAGTGGTATATCCATTTCATGAAATAATGAATCGAACAAGGGAATGTGTAGTAAAGTTAGTACTTTCTTAGCAGCTTTTCTTTGGTCAAGTGGAAAATGAGGCCTTGTGGGAAACCAGTAAGAATTATGGGAACCGTCCTGTTGCTTTAACCCGTGAGCCTGTTGGCTCCAAGGGCGTGAGAGGATGACTATGGGAAAGGAAATTTCGGGCTAAATTGAAGGTTTACACCCTGCGCTCAAAGTTATGAACATACCCTCTGTAATGTTATCTATCCTTAATTACTTGGGAATGTACATCTGCCTAAGCTCCACCAGTCTCCATCGGAAGGGAGGAAACACCTTGATCTGGGTTCTGAAGGCTTAATTGGCTCAGCTGCCACAAGTTAGAATTATTAGCCCACAAGCTGGTCATTGGAGGATTCAAAAATAATCCAGGGTTCTGACTGTGTTTGGGGGTTTCTGATTCCACGTGCGAATTATGGAGAAAAGATCTTGAGAATGGTTTGAAAGGCGCGCTCTGCAATTCGCAAAGAATCGCCCGGCTGCTGATGTCCACCAAAGCAGCCGTCTTTTCGTCCTTTTGTGCTTTTGCGTTGAAGATTTTCTGAGACCTTTGGATGCGGATTTCTGAAAGACTCTAACTCTCCTATCTTTGCCTTAGAGTATAGAAGAGAGTATATAGTCAGCTATCATTTACAACGTTCTTATTTTTCTGTACTTGTAATTTACCAAAAGATGTGCCTGCTTTTTAGCATGTTCTTTACGTTTTAAAATAAATTTTTAAGAAAGAAACTTTCTCTTGTATTGTGTGTGCCTATCCGGGGGAATAGCTAATTCCAACGCCTAGACTTCTTGGTTACGCTCTACCAAAGGATTCCTGCCTGCAAGCTTGTGGAAGCAACTTGTAGTTTGGGGTTAGCCAGGAACAAAGGAGCACAGCTGACTCCCTTGAGCTGTGGCTTCTGGTAACCCTGGGTCGAGGGAGTGGTGGCAGCTCTACCAGCTCTATTTTGTCCTGTTTCTGAAAAGTAAATGGGTTTGCCAGCCTTGCTCAAGAAACCTGATCTGGCCGGAGAGCAAAGACAGGTGAGGGAGGGGCAAGTGGCTGGGCGCCCATTTACTACAGAACGAAACAAGGAAATCTGCCCAGAAAGTATAGGGTCTTTTCTGGACAATCCTATGGGTTTCAGTCAACTAGGTTTTACTTAGGGTAGCCCCGCTGAAATTAACAGGCCCAAGAGATAAGTCATTCCATTAACCTATCAGTAGAGGGAAATTCCCAGGTGTCAAAAAAGACTATTTATGTAGGCTACTACTGCAGCCCATGTCTTGTTAGCCCAAAAATGGAAAACAAACGAGGTCCCAACCAAAGAAGAATGGCAACTTAAACTGATGAAATATGCGCAACTTGCAGATTTAACATCTAGAATAAGAGAACAAGAAGAACATACATTTAGAGAAGACTGGAAAACGTTTACTGAATATATGGGTGAAAATTGTGTTCATTTAAAAATGCTGACAGCATTAAGATAAATTCAGCAGGGTAAATAAGTTTTGATGGATGTAACAATGGTTTCCTGAATGGTTTAGTTCATGTAAAATACGCAGGGCGTATGGTATGCAAAATGAACCACGGAAAGAGAAGAAGGGATGTCACGGATTTAAGGTTGTTTAAAAGAATATTTTGAAATGTAAAATTTAATAAAAATGATATATAACTACCTCAACTGGTCTATAACCGTTGCATCTTTCTGGCATCTTCTGTTTTAATTCAGATAGGCCTCCCATCGCTTCCCAGTTCAACCAGATCTTTCCAGAGGGATACATCCACCTCCCCCCCCCGCCACACTCACCAGCGGCCATTAGGAAACTCATCCCATTCCTGAGTTCGGTAGATGTAACTCTTCGGCCTGGAGGCCCAGAAAATGGGTCGGACATCTTCAACTCGCCGTTTGGGGTGAGTACTGACCGCCCAGGGCAGGGAACGCCTTGCAGGGGAGGGAGAGAAAATTAAAACATAAATTTGCACCTATACTTGCGTGCTGCATCTTTTTAAACACTTCCTGGTAGCTTACACGTGTTTTGCTCCCCCTGAATTAAAAACTGAAGGGATGGCTCATTTTTATACCCAGCAAGTGAGTCAGTGTGGTTGTAGTGGTTGGATTGGGATTTGGTAGGCCAAGTTTCAAATCCCCACTTGAACCCAGAAGTTCATAGGGGGACCTTGGGCTGGTGACTGTCTCTCAGCCTAGTCTACCTCCCAAGATTGTTGTGGGGATTAAATGTGGGGGGGGAATATATATACAGTGGGATATATATACAGAAGTGAATAAATGAGGTTTACTTTTACAGCATGTAAGTAAGGAAGAATTAATTGCACCCTGATGTAGGACTGTTGCTGTTTTTTAAATCATTTTTATTAATTTCCCAATGAAAACAGCCAATCAACATATCCGCATCATAATCTGATTAAAAACAATAAACTAAAATAAAAAAAACGGCCAAATTGTAGTCTAAATTGTAATTATTCATTTTTCCGGGCTCCCCATAGTCTGGACCTCTAAAGCATATCTCCAAATCTTCGTTCCTGCCTCTTCTCGTTGTTTTCATGTTTTCCGCCTTCTGATCTTAACACTTTAAAGTTCTCCATCTCTGGTGATGTATGACTGTTTTGAGCATGCCTCATAACTGGGAGAAGCTAAGCTCTGGGGAGAACAGTGGCAAGCACAGAGACAGAAGAATTATCCTCCCATCTGAAGAGATTGCCTGTTCTGTCTTTGTGTTGGGAGAGACTGAACGCTCCAGAGAATTACACCTTCCTAGCACAGGCTGACTGGAGGAGGCCAGCGGAGTCTGCTGGTCAAAGCAATCTCTCGCTGAGACAACTTGTATGCCTGGCCCCACTTGCAGGAGAGCTGTCCGTGGTCCTTAACCCAAACCTTAGTCTGCTCTCCAAGGTGCTGTTGCCTGTCCAACCAGGAATTTCTAGCCTACCCTTGCTTGGGCCACCAAGCAACTGGTGGTAGAGAATCGCCCTCTGTTCCTCTTCTGCCAGTCTGCTGGCTAGAAGGCCAATTTTTAAAAAAGATATTTCTAGCCTTCACATCCATGAAGGCTGCAGAGGATGGAGTTTCCCTTACCCGGCAGCCAGCATGGAAACAATCCCACAAGCTCGTAAAGAATGTGGCAAGATGGATTCCTTTGGGTTCAACGAGGGAAAAGAATATAAACAGATTCTAGCAAGGATGGGCAATGTTTAAAGAATTCTGGACGGTCAGACGGGGGGGGGGGGGCTTAGATATAATCCTTTTGAAATTCTGTTGAGAGCATATGAATATTGTTCTTAAAGATCATAAATATATAAATAAAAAGGGTCCACCCACTAAATAGCTCAGTTGGGTAGATTGTGGTGCTGATAGTGCTAAGGTTGCAAGTTTGATCCCCATATGGGACAGCTGAATATTCTGCATTGCAGGGGTTTGGATGCGGCCCAATCGCCTTCTAAATCCGGGCCGCAGATGCTCCGGGACTCAGCGTGTTTTTACATCAGTAGAATGTGTGCTTTTATTTAAAATGCATCTCTGGGTTATTTGTGGGGCATAGGAATTTGTTCATTTCCCCTCCAGAAAATATAGTCTGGCCCCCCACAAGGTCTGAGGGACGGTAGACCGGCCCACGGCTGAAAAGGTTTGCTGACCCCTGGACTAGATGATGCTCAGGGTCTCTTCAAACTGTACAATTCTGATTCCACTTGATACCTTTCCTTATCACTTTGCTGGCTTCTTTCCTCCCTCCCTCCCTCCCTCCCTCCCTCCCTCCCTCCCTCTCCATCACTTTTTTATTTCCCGTTTGCACATACTCTATTTCGGATTGTGACAGCAATTGTTCGTTAAACCGTTAAACCTGCATCATAACTTGATGCATCTTTGCAAAACTGTGCAATTATTGACCGGAATCTTGTTTGTTTCCATTCCTGCACTTGCATTGTTTACAGCAACACAAAAAAAAGTTGGTTTTCCTTTTTTTTAAAAAAGAGATGTTGCAAGCTACCGTATTTTTTGCTCTATAAGACGCACCTTTTCCTTCCTAAAAAGTAAGGGGAAATGTGTGTTTGTCTTATGGAGCGAATGCAGGCTGCGCAGCTATCCCAGAAGCCAGAACAGTGAGAGGGTCACTGCGCAGTGCTCCCTCTCGCTGTTTTAGCTTCTGGCTTAGTCACGCTCTGTCCCTTCCACCACCTCCTGGAAAAGCCCCCAAGAGCCGCGCTCCCTTTAAAGAGCCGCGTGGAGCGTGTGTGCGGCTCTTGGGGGCTTTTCCCAGAGGAGGGAGAAGGGCAACACGTCTCCCTCCTCGGTGAAAAGCCTGCAAGAGCTGCACACACGCTCTGTGGGTTTTGCTGCTGAGCCATCTGAGTCAGTTTCAGATTCACAACTTTCATCAGTGGGTGTGGGGTTTTGCTGCTGTTTATCCTCAGTCTCTTCACACGCTCCACGCGGCTTGTGAAAGGGAGGTTTTCCCACCCACCCACCACCCACCCTTTAAGGTTCCCCTTCTGACCTCGCTATGGACCTCGGTTGGTCGCCTTTAAGGGGCCTGGTAGGAATTTTTTCCACTTGGCAAATTGGCACCGGCCATTTGGGTTTTCGCCTACCTCATAGCAAATCGTCACAACTCCTTTGGTTTTGGCGGTTAGGCATTGGTAGGGGTATTGTTATGTAGATGTGTTGGGGGGGAGGAACGCCATCAACTCCCCCAAATATTGAAGGGTAGTCTAGTAAAGGATTCCGGGGGCGTGGCCTCGTCGGAAGCCTATGGAGGCCAGGGCCTAAAGTGCGCCCCCGAGCGGTGACCCCGGGGGAAGTCCCTAGTCGATGTGCATCAGCAGGGCTCCCCCTGCTGGTGTTAACCCTTCCGGGTCTTCAAGCAAGCAGGCCGAAGCCGGATAGTTGGATAGGACCAATGCCTAAGCCAATACCGCTCATCACCTGTAACCGATAAAGTTGCGGGCAATTTTAGCCCATTAACCTAAAATAATGGTGTCATGTGTCTTTATTTCTACTGGTGGGAGGCAGGAACTCGCCACGCAAACGCCGGCACCCTTGGCCTGAAAAGCAGGATGCATGCTGCAACCCCATAGTCACTTTTGGCTGGACTTAACTGTCCAGGGGTCCTTTACCTTTTTACCCGTTTTTGTCAACAACTCCCATCCACTCCAGCCAGCACGGCCAATGGTCAGGAGCAACAGGAGCAGTCAGCTCAGCAGCCATTGCATCAGGCAAAGGAAGAGAGTTGGAACTAGAGGGTTGCTCTATTAATATGGCTAAAAAGACCAGCAATTTTACTCTGATTTTTTATTCCTTGCAACCATTGACATTCTGGCTCCGGCAAGTAACCAGTGCTTTTCTTCAAGGCTAGGGAAAAAGGTACTAGTACTGCGTATCCTTGAATACCCCCCCCCGAAAAAAGCAGTGACTGTAACTAAGAATTAGAGCCTGGACCTGCTTTCACCTCCTCTTCCCTCCCACTCCCCTTTCCTTTTGTGTCATGTCTCATAGGCCACACCCATATAATTAAAAGCATGTTGCTTGCTTCAAAGGATTCTGGGAACTGTAGTTCACCCCTCACAGTTCTCAGCACCCTTAAACAAAGTGCAGTTCCCAGGATCCTTTGGGGGAGGGAAATGGGATTTAAATCATGTCTGGTTTGGATGTGGACCTTAGATTGCAAGGGTGGGACATTTGTAAGCCTTTTTTGACTGACGAGTGGCATGAAAATGCCTAGTAATTGCTCAGCTGAGAGGAGAATCCACATCCAAGAGCTACACAAACACATGCCTAATTAACAGGTTTAATTGCAATTAACTATCTTGCACACATCCAGGAAAGAAAGAAAAATAGGGCACATATTTTCAGCAGATAAGATGCAAGGCTGATAAGGTGCAATTGTTATTAAACGAGTAATTCCATATGTGATCCTTTCCTCAGGGGAAGTTGTTCAGCTGTTCGCTAGACAAACGTTATGAGCTGTAGTTGACATTAACGGACATGGCCAGTTTCAGTGGGTCTACTCTGAGTCAGACACAGTTGCAGACAACCTTACTTCTAATAAAAACATACATTGCAGAGCCACTTTGCCTCGTTTTCCCCACACGCAACAGCCAAGGAGTCCCCGAGACCAGGACCCCCATAGCAAGATGCCCTAGGCTGACTCAGCCCATCAGTCCCAGGACTGTCAACACTGGCTGGCAGCAGCTTTCCAGGGCTTCAGGCACGGAAGATTTCCAGCCCCTACCAGGAGATGCCACTGGGGATCTGAAGCAAGATTTCCTCCACCACCGAACTAAGACTCTTCTCTTTCCATGGCTGCCACAAATCACACACTAAACATTTAGGGGTTCTGCAAGGGAACAAGGGTTAAGACATCACTTGCCTTTTCCAGGTGAGACTTTTTCAGGCTCCCACTCTGAGCAAAGGGAGTTGGAGCAGGAGGTCATTTACAATAAAGGATATTTCCAAGGAGGAGATCAGGGCTGGGCAAGCAGCGAGGCGGGGAGAAGGAACAACAGCCCAAACCTGCAAGACCCATCGCAACACTTGCCTGGTGGAGTGATCCTTCCATGCAATTGTCCACTGCAACTGGACAGGCTTTTTGCTGCGCTCCAGGTTATTTCCTGCGGCTGTCCACGTGCACACACAGTGAGACTCTCAGGCTCGCTGACCTTGCTTGGATCAAGTGCACAGCCACTCTCCAAAATTGACTCCTGCCAAGAACAACAGCAGCCTCTGAGCCTCCGCTCTACAGCTATGCAAACAGACGCCGCTTGGGCTCTCAGTAACTGCACATACAAAGCCAACTAAGGTGTGCATTCAAAGGTGCCCTCCTGCTCAACCAGAGCCCAGCCCAGACCTGCGGATGCCAGACCTGGCTTGCCAATCAGAGGCCGGCCCTGGCACTCCCTCCAATCTCTGCCCGCTGCTCCAATGGGCAGTGGAGATCCAGCCCTCTAGAGACACCCTTCTGTTTGTCAAGCATAAACGCTCCCTTTGATTGTCTGGTCTGAATGCCCTGTTGTTTGTACAAGGGCCGTTGTGCAAAATGTTTTACGTTCCGAGAGCAGAGCCATATATTCCCTGCTGACCCCCTCAAAAGGAATCAAAATGAGGGGACCCTCCTCCTTTTTACAGTAAAGACACTGCCACCGAAAAGGTACTTTTG